GAAAGTTTTGGTTTGATGTTTGAACTGTTCGAAGAAGTCCTTGCCGATGACCTTGAACAACAACAGGTTCTTTTAGGAGCCGATGACGAAGCAGTTTTATTCCTTTTGGCGGCCGGACAGCTCGTCCGAAAAGAACACGTTCGCACAAAGAATTTTTACGAAATAACCGTACCTAGTTACATACCGGAGGACTTCCGAAGTCACTTCCGCATGTCACGGCATACAGTTACAGTTCTCGAACATTTGCTTTCGGTCCACGGCGACTTACCTCAATACACCGGCGATAGAGGAAGACCACCGGTCGAGTTAAGAAAGCAAATCCTTATTACGCTGTGGATTCTTGGGAATCCAGAATGTTTACGCTCTGTTGCCGATCGATTTGATGTTTGCAGGGCAACTGCGTACAGAGTCTACAGACGAGTTTGCAAAGCAATAGTGAGGAACTTAATGGATGAGTTTATCAAGTTTCCAACTGGTCTAAAAGCCCAAGCGGTGATGGAGGCCTTTGAAGAGAAAAAGGGTTTTCCGGGTGTTTTGGGGGCTATTGATGGCACCCACATACCAATCAAAGCACCACATAACAATCATGAACAATACATAAATCGCAAAGGTTTCTTTTCCGTCCAACTACAAGTCATTTGTGACCCGGATTTATTCATAACCGATGTTTTCTGTGGTTACCCTGGTTCAGTACACGATGCTCGCGTGTTTCGTAATTCTCCGATCTGCCGAGAAGTTGAAGTGAACCCAGACAATTATTTTCCTGGCAACTCCCACATTTTGGGAGACGCAGCATATCCCTTGAAGAGGTGGCTGTTGACCCCATTTCGAGACAACGGACGTTTGACTGCTCAACAAAGACGTTACAATACTGCCCACAGTTCCACCAGAATGGTGGTTGAGAGGTCCATAGGGCTTTTTAAGAACAGGTTTAGGAAGCTAAAAACAATGATGGATGTTGACAAAATTGAGGACATACCGGAAATTATTGTATCCTCTTGCATCTTACACAACATTTGCATTATTGAAGATGACATCGATGATTTTTTAGATGACTCTAATGATGATGATGACAATGATGACAATGATGATGACATCTTTCCACCAGGTGTAGGAGCAGTTGATAAGAGAAACATGATAATGAGACTGATCCCATAAACCTAGCATTTATAAGTGGTTTATGTATTGATACCTTTTGTACTGTGGTGTTTTCATGAACACTTCTTTCATAGGTGGTGTATGTCATTCATAAAGTTTATACTGTATAATAGTCTTTTTGCTATAAATATCAATATTTTATTTGTTTTTAAAAGTATATAAGAAAATAGTAGAGCCATGTACATGGATCACTTTATACTACCTGAAACATTTATGGTGTTGCTTGAAATGTAAACTTTCAACACAAATGTAACAGCCTAATACTCTGACAGTCCAGGTTGCTTGTGTCACGCACAGAAAGGAGGAAGTGCGTGACACAAGTGATCTGAAGCATCTGAGAATCAGGCTAAAAAAAGTAAAGGATATAAATAATATCAAAACCAGTTTAGTTAGGCCCTCTCACCTAATGTTGCTGTTGTAGTTCCTTGTATGTATGTGATAAAAAAAAACATACAACTTGCAATAATACTGTTAACATGTATGATATAATAAACTTTTAGATAACTCAATACTGACAACAAACTCAGGTTTACTGTATCTATGTTCATGTTTGTGGTCAAATAATCCCATGTTCTGCAACACAATAAAAAATTATGGAATCAAGGTTACTCTTTGTTCAATGATTTTTCAAAAACATTCAAAAATCGGCCGATGAGTGCCATGCGTTCATTGTGCATATTTTCAAACTTTTTAATCTTTTCCTTTTCTTCCTCTTTCCTGTCTTGTGTAAATTCCTTAAAGAGCCCAACGAGGTCTTCTCTTTTCTTCCGCTCTGGTAACTTCTTTTTCTTTGCTTTTGTAACCACAGGCTCCTCTGTGTCACTACCTGTGGAACTCAATGTGGAACTGGAATTTTTAACACTCTTGACTGCATCTTTGCTCCGTTTACCATCAATGTTGCTGCACAATGTTTTTGGAGCGATGGCATCATCTTTCGAAAATATTTCGTGAAGTTCGTCATAGAAGTTGCATTTCTTTCGGTCATTTCCGCTGACTTTGTTGTGATCAACACAAGCAACATAACTTCTCTTCAGATTTTTCAATTTCGTCTCACACGCCTTGGCATTAAAGAACACTCCGTTCTTCTTTAATTCTTCGCTGATTTCTTCCCACAGGGACTTGTTCTTTTTGTTTATATCTTTAAATCGTTCTCTGCGTTCGACATAGCAGGAAATTAACAACAGCACATCAGCTCTAGACCAGCGTACAAGAGCTCTCGATTCGCCTTCGGTGCCTTCACGCGACTGACTGAACGTGGCTGCAGCTGTTTCCAAAGAAGAAAAACTTGGACCAGGCTGAGGTGATACTGATCTGACTGTTTCATGGCTGAACTGTGATGCCTGCGGTGGTGGAAACATGAACTGAGGAAGATAAGGTTGAATGCCCGGTTGAACGTGGCTTTCGTTCCACTGATATTCTGGATATTCACCTGCAGATAAACTGTGCGTCCAATATTGTCCTGTAGATAGAAATAAAAGATGCCAAGACGCATCAAACATCCGGAAAATTTATAAAAATACGTACAGGACGGAAAATTTCGGTGAAACTACACAAAAAACTCACCTTGTTTATTCGCCATGGCCGGCAGCAGCTAATATTTACAACAAAATGGCGGGAATGTGGCGGATTTTAAGAAGACGACCGCTTGCCAAACGTACTGCTTTTTGTATCCGTGCAATAAAGAAACGCACGGATCATGAATCCTAAAAATCCGGATTTAGATTTGATCTAATGAATCCACTCGGAGTGTGGATTCTATAGATTCTGATTAAAAAATCCATTTTCGGATTTTATTAAAGAAACGCAAAATCCGTTTTTGGATTCAAGAATCCGGATTTGGATTTTTTTAAAGAAACGCACCCGGTTTCTGAAAAAAATCAGGACAATAAAATTAAAGATTCAGGAGAGGCATATGATTTTAACTTGTTTACTGATGTTCTCACCTGAATTCCATCTGGAATGAGAACTCTGCAAGACTTCTGTTTTATCTTAAATTTAAACATAAAATTAAATTATTTGCAGGCAGGTTAGGGAAGAAATTAAAGGATGGATACATGTTACATAAAAAGAAACCCCTTACAATAAAATAAAGTAGAAGCATATTATATACATGTCTATGCTTCTGAATACAGCTGTAATAAGAATTTTTTGAGTAATTATCTACATATGTTAACCGAGTGCAATATATGGTCATAAAAGCAATTTTATTCTAACCTTCCTACTTGAAGGGTGCCTTGTGTATCAAATATATCAAGTGCAGTACCTCCAGAGTCACAAGCCGGGCTTTTGGGGCCACAAAATAATAAAACAATCATCGAGTTATGTCAGGCCAATTTATCGAGAGTTAATTAAGTGTAGTTTTCTACAATCGTATGAAAGTTTAAAATGTGCTTCACTATTATACGCTATATATAGTATATATGCTATATATACGGATTTGTCGTTCTTAATTACTAATGAAACTCCGAGGGCGTAACTCAATTACTCCAAGAGAGAATATGCAAGTAGGTTACAGAAATGGTTCGCGAATTGTAAACTGTTAATATGTTGACAAAATATCCCTAAATTATAGTGCCGGTGTCCCAGCGGATTTGGACCCCTCTCCGCGGATTTGGACCCCCCAATAAAACTGAGTGAAAACATCATCCTTAACGTTCTAATAAAAATGGATGATACTTTACGTTCCAGAGCGTACTAAAGTATGTTTTCAATTCAAAACATGCGTATCGTTAATGCATACGAACTGGCATCCCGTCGGATGTTTCTTTTGACCAAGGGAAGATGGGCAGGAATTTAGTTTAATGTCTGGAGAGAGATCGTTTTTGAACCTTTTCCGCGATAGTCGAACACCGTTACATTCATTAAGAAACAAACTTGTGACACTTATTTATTTTGTCATTGTTTAATGCCCGAGTGTTGGGACGACATGGTACAGTGCGAGGGATTTAAGACTACCTCGGAGGACGAGTGGCTTTGCATTGTCTACAGATTGCCAGACTCTAGACGTCTTCGTAATTGTTAAGGTGTTATTTCGGATCCCTCAACAGTTAATAATCGTTAAAATTAGAAAATAAGATTGAGTCCGATGTAATAGTCTCCACTTTTGTTAAGACGTTGACATGTTGATTAATGCTGATTTGCATCTGAAAATAAGCTGAGAGTTCCAATAGTTCAGAATAGAAACATTTTTACTTATCATTGGCTTTACGAAAGACTTGTAATACGAGTAGTTTCTTCTTCGTCGAATGCGGTAGTTTGTTCACATCTAATTCTTGCGTATACTGTTCCACTCGCTATAATGAATGCGGTAGAATTGGAACGAAATGGCTGTTGTTGTTGTTTTTTTTACCTTTATTGAGGAAATGTTGTGTTGTGATATAAAAGAAAATCGACAAAAAAGCTTGCAAACAGAATTGGTTACCAAATATGATACAAAGGATGCTTAAAAGGAAAGTTTGGTAGGGGGGTCCAAATCTGCGAAGGGGGTCCATATCCGCTAGCGGATATGGACCGGGGGGTCCAAATCCGCTGTGACACCGGTACGAATCTATCATTCATAATCGCTTATGAAATTCCGAGACTAAACCTCAATGAATTTAACAGAAAATATCCAGGAAGGTTACAGAAACAGACTCTCAAAAACTGCTCTTGAATTCGATAACTGTAAACAACAATTATTTACGCGAACCATGTGATTACCAGCGCGCTTGTGAGGTCAAATTGCCAGAACCCCGTTTAATTGCACGATCACAGCTCGGACGCTTCTTGCAAAATGTGAAGACTACCAATTTTAGAGATTATTTCTTCAGTTTCTAGCATAAGGAAAAAAAAAAAAAAATCGTATCGCAAGCATGTTCATAACGCCTCGAGATGTTGAGCGAAGAGAAAGTGGCTCCATGTTTTGTGACACAAACCATTTCCTGAAGTTCGAACGAATCGAGTAGAAAGCATGAAAACATAGCGCTGAAAAGTAAGACAACCAAACAATTAAATTCACTCATCCCGGTGTAGAACCATCTCCATTTTACCCGTGAGCTTGTTTGCACCACACATTTGCGGTCCGTAATTTGATTCTCAGATGATTGACGGGTTCTCACATGACAATACCGTCAAAATCAAATTACCGCGTTAGACTTAATATAAACATGAACATAGCTTACTCAATCCAATTTTATTTTAATTTTGGGAAAGGCCATCACTTCGTTCTTAGGGTAAAACAAAACATCTTCGGCAAAGCGCAAATTTTTCAAATGAACAGAGTAAATCCTGCGATAATTAACTGAAGAGAAAAAAAAGTAGAAACTTGCGCTCGCCGTTCGACATCAAGATAAGATAACTTCTTTTCCCATAACACCACGACTGTATTAAACTTTCAAACGAAAGGACAAGAAATAACTTGAAGAATACGAACACTATGCAATATTACTCGAGTGATGAACCGGCGTAAGAGTTTCTAGGCGATGAATGCCAGAGTCAACGTTTAACCGAAACGTGATCAGTTGAATTCAAAACTGAAGCTAGTATCAAGCGACGATTGGAAAGAAAAAAGTTTGAATTTTTTTCTGGGTCTTAGCGTAAGAGAAAACCCAGATAGAACACGACTTACCTTCTCTTCTTTCGCGGATCCTTTGCAGTTCGCTTCTCTTTGTTGATGACCTCTTTTCAGTCTGTTTTCAGAAGCGATTTTGTATTTCCTTCTTGCGTTGCTCTTCGCTAGAAACTCGCCTTTTTACTTATGCCCTTTATTGTTCTCTTTCGTCTTCCTCTCGCCGTATTCTGCCTATTTTGGCGTCCTTTGTAGCTTTCTTGCGCGATTTTCTGGACTCGCTTTACGCCGTTTACTTGTTGCTTTCTTTGGTCGCTCTGTCTCTTTATAGCCAGCCTATTTTCAATTAAAACCCTCTCTCCACGAACTTGAATTATAACAATTTCCTCCGGTTGACAAAGCTTAAACTCTGCCGGTATTGTTGTCTTACGAGTTGTTTAGAAATTGCAAAATACTGAGAATTGCTGTTCAACTACATCCTGACCAGTTCGATTTCCTGCTCAAAACGCGGGTGGCAAATCTCATCTACTAGCTCACTTGGAGCCCTCATGCAATGCCTAACCGTGTGCCCGCAGTACGCTACACTGCAGCTCGACGTTCGAGTATGCGCACTTTATCGTCATCTGACGGTGTCTCTTGGCGCACACTGATGGGGTATCCAAGTTATGCACGCAATCGCGCTTACGCATTACCTTCTCCCTCGCCCTTCCATTACGTAGTGGCTAAGATAGTGCCCGTGGTACAGTTGGCCGCGCATGCCAAAAGTAGCACCTTGCACGGTCGTACGGTCGTACAACCAAATTTTTTGGTCTTGATGGGTTACTAATATTTTGTATAGTTATGGGGCTACGCTCTGCGAGCTCCGCTACTATTTGTAAGAAAATCTAACTTAACACACACTCTTACCTTGTTTATTTATGATTTTATAAGACCAATAAGCTGTTTCGGTTATTAAATTATGCTTGGGTATTACTTTTTGCTGGGAGCCCAGGTTTTACGTTGTGTTTTCCCCTTTCCCATTTGTATCAGAAGCTAGTCACGCAATAATTGACAAATAATTTCACAAATGAATATTTACCCTGTATGAAGATTTTTGTTTATGTTGAATTGACAATATTACAATATGTTACTTTTGTGGTCACTAATCGTCGTTTCAGTAGCAGCGTAGCAGTTCAAAAGGGGTTGTTGCTTCAACGCTATTGAAATTTATAGTGTTCTGGCAGGAGAGCAAAGCGTGATGCTCTGGAAATAAAAACTCTTAGGGGCCTTTTACATGATATCGAAATGAGTTTTGTTCAAGAACGAGTTCATCCCGGTTGCCACATGATACCAGAATAAAATTATTCGAAACGAGTCATTTCTAAATGAGTTTATTGAGGTTTTCATTTCAGAACGAAACACGTATTCTGGACGACCTTTTGTACCAGTATAAAGTAAACGCGGTACGACATTCATATCTGTATGAATCCTCTTTAGGAGCGAGGGAAGCATAGAAAAAGGGCGTAAATACTAATTTCTTACAAGCTAAATTATCTTGCACGTAAACGCGGTATGAAATTCATTTCTTTCCGGAACGAAACCCATTTTGGAATCTTTTGCCAATTGCATGATGTGTTTTCTTCCTTTAAGCCCGAGCTCGATTTTTTCGGGGGTTGTTGCCCAACATCCCTAAGATGCTATCAGGTCCTACAACTTTTTCTGTGATGAAAGAATTTGGATATATATGTATTGCTCTCGTTGTTTTTTTTTAATTACCTAGCGAATTTCAAGTGATAATTTCAGGAAGTAAGAAGCAACAACAAAAGGATTCTGATCAAAGCGAGGTGCCATTTTCAGTCATACCTGGTCGGACACCTTCAAAACAAAGGATGACACGCGAGCAGTTTACCGCAAATTTGACATGAAAATTATTCTGACGCCTCTTTGAGGAGAAAAAAAGCTTGAACAGTAGACATCGCAAGATCTTTGGCTATGTTATAAAAGAATACTTAATGCACTAGAAGTGCACACATCGAGTTCTGGATGCACTTGAATAG